AAAACAATATACAATACCATTCTTTTTTTAAAAAGTATATAGGTTATTGTCCTTATAAAAAAAGTAAATTATTTTAATATTTTTTTAATAATAATTTGTTAAAATAATATAATTTTTTTAAAAAAATTTACCTAATTTTTTACGAATCAAACTAATAAACAATTTTCATATATATATATATATATATCATCAACTAAGATTTATTTTACCGTGGCTTATACTTTGTTCCTTTTTGATGAATACTTATTGTTTGTTTTCACTGTTTCTCTCCCTTAGCTTCAAGAATACCATTTTAGATTGCGTCGACAACTTTACAAGGTAATTAGGAATATTAAGTTAATCAGCTCCGATAAAACTGTTTATTTAATGATGGTTCTGATAAGCTCAAACTTAACAAAAGAGCACTGGAAAGGAAAAGGGTGGAAAGACTGTTCCTTCTCCGAGTTCAGATCCGGGGAAATTTTTTATTTTATTTTATTTTTGTATTTAGTTTCTTTTCATTATATTTTTAATCTCCAATAATTACTCATATCAATTAATTAATTACTCAACTAGTTCTGCGAAGGACTCAGCAAAATCCGTCATGTCAGGCTTTCCCGGACAGGATACAAATTCGCCTTTCACCGATGGAGAAGTTGATATGTTGTTTAAACTTATCCCGCGAAAAAACCAACCTACCGAAGGATCAGACAGCATAGTCGGAAAAGTAGACTTCAAAGATTTCCTAGTGAGTTATATACACAATGAAATCACTTTAAAATTATATTATTTTAATATAATATTACAAAAAAATCAAATATAATTTAATAAAAAATAATTAATATAGTATTTAATTTAGTATGTCAATTAATACTCATTAGTTTAATTATTAAATATGAAATTTTAAGTTTTTATGCTTTGATTTTAAATTTGAAAATAAAAAATTTTCAATAAGTATATTGTAGATCATGTTGGATTAGGGTGTATCAATAATTATTTTAGTTTAATTCATACTCTAAGTGTAGGGTATTTTAGTATTTTTATAACAAGAGTTTATTAAAAAAATATAGTTTTTATATATAAAGGGTTTTTTTAACTTATGCAAATGTAATTATCGTATTTTTTTTATATTAATTAGTATTAAAAAATATAAAACTTGATATTAATTTCACCATCAATGCTAAGTAAATCATTTTAATTGGAAAATTAATTAAATAAAAATCAACTTTTATTTTTTAATAGTATTTAATTAATATAAAAAATACAATAATTACACCATTAAAAACACAAGTTAGAAAAGCTAACATATATTTAAGTACATAGACATTGATTGGTACAACTTTTAATTCAACATACTGCATGGTATATTTATTAAAATATTACTATTTTTTAATATAAAATCAAAAACAGATAAATTTAAAAATGTAATTATACATACAACATAAACATACAGAAACATGCTGAATTGACTATATTTGTTATATATTAATAACTTAATTGGATGGATGTTAAAAAATATGTTTGAATTGACTATACTTG